TGTTTTACTTTTCAGTGAAGTAGAGACTGTAATATGTTAGGTGATAGGCGGGGGAACAAAAAGTTTAAAGTATAATAATATACATATTTAATACGGTTTATATTATTTTATATTATTACTTTCATATAAATCTAATTTTATTCTCAACTGTTTAAGGTAGACAAGGCAACTTATTTGTGGATAAGAAAACTGTGATTAAGTAATGTGTTCAGAGATAGTAACATTAAAAGTGTCATTTCTGAGCATTTTCTATGTACAGAATACTGTACATCAGCTCTGATCTTCTCAGCAAGTTATGAAGTACCATTTTCTTTCATTGTTGTAGAAACTAAGGCTCAGAAAGTTGCAGTGACTTGCTGGATATCAAATAGCTAGTAGGTGGTTCTGTCAGTCAGCTATGGCCACAGTAATGCTGTGTAACTAACCACTACAAAATTACAGCAGCATAAAGCAAAAACACTTAAGGAGCTTACGGATAAGCTCGACTCTACAGGTGTCGATTTATCCTTATCCTGGCAACACGAGCCAATCCAGGCTTGATATTCTCATGGCAGTTATAGAAACGTGCTTTTGCAGCCTTTGGTCTCATCACACCCACCACTGTTCTGGTGGCCAAGCTAAGTATATAGCCAAACCTAAGGCTGGGGTGTGGCAAATATATTCCTCCTTAGTGAGCAAAGTCACATAATAGGGTGTAAACACAGGGAGGTATGAAGAACTGGGGCCCTTGATAGAGCCTGCCACAGTGGTGGAGCTAGGATTTAAAACCAGGTACCTCAGCAGTTAGAGCCTGTGGATTCTTGGCTGGCTTTCTACCCATCTTCTACTATTCTAACATCTAATTTTTAAAATACCTTGCTTGGTTTATTCAGTGTTTTGTAATCTAAGCTCTTCATTTCTTCTGTATGGTTGTAGCTATATTAAAGGAAACTAGTACATTTATTCATCGATGGCTCTCCACCCTTGGTTCATTCAGGCACGATTCTGGGTACAGGTGATGAGGGATTTGCGGAATGGGGTAAAACTTAAGAAGGTCCAAGAGAGGCAGTACAACCCTTTGCCCATTGAATATCAGCTCACTCCTTATGAAATGCTAATGGATGACATTCGGTGCAAGAGATACACTTTGCGAAAAGTGATGGTAAGTAACAAAGAAAACTATTAATGGACTCAAATGATTATTCTTCTATAACCATATATGTTGTAAATTGTCTTATGTTATATTTTTAAAATTATTTCTTCTAATAATAGTACACTTGGTCATCATAGAAAATTTGGAAAATACATTAAGCTCAAAGAAGGAAAATTACAAACATGTAATTTCACAAGTCAGAGAAAAACTTTGGTAACGTGTTGGTGTATAGCCTTCAGTCTTTTCCCTATGCGTTTCATTTGGACAAAATGTATTAGTGTTGAATACTTTGTTGTTGTTTTTTTTTAAAAGATGACCGGTAAGGGGATCTTAACCCTTGACTTGGTGTTGTCA